CCACACCCCACACCCATCCACAACCACACCCTCGTATAATGAGATTCAACTTTATTCAAGTAGACATATTGAATTAAACTAAAATGATTTGTCATACTATCACATAAATCAAAATTCTAAGTGTAAAACTTCATTGATAGAGAAGAGCAACTACCACATGGATGTCAGTGATTCTTGTGCATTTCTGCGTACTGACTCTAATTGAAGTAATGCTATTTATTGTTAAATAGAAAACCTACATAAGCAGGGATCATTCGATTAATTTCATAATATCAGTGATGATGCTTTTTTTCTGTTGTTATATATCTAAATATTCGTGTTGATTTTCTGATATTTCTGCTCACTGAAATGTTGTTTGGATTGATTTATTCAAGTATTCATATCTTGATCAATTAACAGATGAATACTTTAGAGAATGTGCGACTCATATATTATCGTAATCTCATTATTCGTATGTAGTATAAATAGAATGTGAAATTTAGATTTTGACTTCATCTTGTCTTTGCAAGCATCCTGTTGTTGAATTCATATATATATCAAAGACAATGGTATAGGTTTTACGTCGAGATTAGACAGTTCTATCCGTCTTCCTTTTCAATTATGGATTGTATTAATTGGTTTGACAACTTGTGAGTTGCCTAACGATTGTAAAATATGCGTCTTTCACATTTTAGTCTTCGCAAAACTGCGTTGAGTAACTGTTTTTTACACAATAATTCTTACTACTTGCTCGTTATCTTTCATATTTGGATATTTTTCTCTGTTTCCCGCTACAAACAATGAGTTACATGGCAAAAAAACACATGTTATTTATATCTATTTTCTAATGTTGATTGCTTAGATAGGCGTGTAATGAACCATTCTGTTTACAGAAGAAAATTTAATTGCTACCATAGTCAATATTTTGGAAGGGATAACAAGAAATCAAAAATCTTTATGTGGAAGCCTCTGCTTATTAATTAGTTCGAAAATAAATATAGGTGAGATTCATGATTATAAGGAAAAGCAAGCATTGACGTGTTGGTAAGTTCCGAAGAAAAATAACTGAATGTCTCTTATCATATAAAGAGTCGATCAAACTTTTCGAAATGCAGAAGATCAAGAGATATGCCATGAAAAAGTGAAGCGAATTAGTTACTGATGAACTTCTTTAAATTTAAAGTTTCATTCTTCATAGAAGCAATACCTCCGATCGAGAAAAATAACAGAAAATGTGCAGCTAACCGCAATCTTTTGAAGCTCGGTTTGTCGTTTTATGTTGAGATTGCGGTGGTTTTCAGAGATACAGTAACTAAGGTGTCAATGTTGATGACAGTAAATAGAAGTTTGAACAGTTTTATTCATGAAAGGCGTTTGTTAGAAGACAGGCACAAATATTTAACATTAGTTGGTGAATGTTCCTAATAAAAACAAATTTAACAAGAAAGATTGATAATCAACATTGTCAGACAATCAAACATCGACACTGAAAATGAACACTAGGAAAGGATATCTAAATGTCAAAGTATAGGTGTGGACGCTGATGTACAGACTACATAAATACTCACATCCTTCTATTTTCTTTCCTCTTTTCAGAGTCATTCAATTTCTGATGTAGATACCTGCTGTTTCTAAGGGATGTTTTTTTTTCTTTTCTTTTATCGACACTATGTTCGTTGTCGATGCGTAGGATGACAAGGAGCGCAACATTTTTTTTCTTTTTCACTTTTTATACATAATGACGAGTAAAAATATATATATTATAAGAGTCCGCCATTTTTCCACGTGAACGTTTTCAGTTATAGAAAAAAACTTGTAAACACTGTCAATAGTAATGACAAGCATCACTGTCGAAGGAGCTGAATTATTGCAGGTAGGCCATCGCGCAACACGGACTTTTGCCGTGTTTGACACTTCAACAATCAACGCATGCTTTATAGATTATTTTAGTATACTGACAACAATGATGATCTAGACATGTTTAGAGAGAAAAAATATTCCATAATGATAGCTGATATTCAGAAATTTAAAACACTTGTTTTCATTGTGAATCACTACATGATCAATATCAGTCTAGGAAGAAAGCTCAAATAAACTTTTGAACGACATACCAATAGTATCTCAATGATGCCTAAATTTGTTGCCTCATATGCATCGATTTACAGTGACTTATTTATCGACAAAGGCAAGAATAACGGATAGATTAAATAAATAAACTGTTTATTAATTAAGTCTGACGTCTGTGAAAAGATTAACAACTTGTGAGCTAGTACACGGATGCCTTTATTATGAAGTAGCTGGAAGACAAGTTGAAATATGATACGTAACTTACTAGATGAGATTGTCTTGACACGAAATGAAACGGTGGGTCCATGGCTTAGCTGCATACATTGCTTTACGGTAATAAGAGAGTTTATAGGTACACCCACATCTACTCCGTTTCCTTAATGATAAAATATTCACTAATAGACTTTCAAATGACAAAATCAAATACTTTTTGTTATTTACGCTTAACAGAGAAAATATGGAAGCAAAAAATTCCGTATTTATGTGCAGAGAAATTTTATGTGATGTTTTTTTTCCACGTGTCTCACAGCTATTTAGTGCTGATCGAGCCTATTACTATTTGATATATTTCATTTTATCACTCTATCTAAGATTCGACCTGTTCAAAACCAAGATTTATCAACGACATCATGCATGTCGCCAGATTTAAACTACGAAGATGTGACTCTGATTTGGTTGGATGAGAATATCAATGAAAATTTTGATTGTCTGGATACAAAATGTCGTTTATGTACAATTGTTAACTATTTTAAAGTATTCGACAATGTTCAAGAAACGGTTGATTATGTTCAATCTGCATTACATGAACACTTATTTCTTATTGTTTCTGGATCATTAGGTGAAACTGTTCTTTCATGTATTCACAACGAATTTCAATTGAAATTTATTTTTGTCTTTTGTATGAACAAAGAGAAACATTCAGAATGGACATATAAATATGAAAAAATATGCGGTATTTTTATCGACAAATATGAACTTTTTCATAATTTGACTGCTAAAGTTCGAATTTATGAAAAAAGCTTATTGACCATTAGTATATTCAATAGATCATATACAACAGGTGAAGAACATTCAATTCGTGATTATACAATTGAAGAAAATGTTAATTTAATGTGGCTTGAAGCATTTATTAACATTCTACTTGATGTTCCACTTGATAAAAATGTGGCTAAACAAGATATGATTGCTGAATGTCGTTTATACTATACAAATAATCCAGCAGAATTGAAAAAAATTGATGAATTTGAAAATAATTATTGTCCTGAGACTGTCATTAATTGGTACACTCGTGATTCATTTGTGTATCGGTTAGTCAATAAAGCACTGAGGATGCTGAATATTGATATTATTTTCAAATTTCGATTTTTAATTATTGATCTATACCAACAATTAAAACAATGTCATATTGATTATATGAAATCTTTATCGACAATCGATCCGAATAAAGTAATACATACAGTTTATCGCTGTCAACATATTGGAACTCATGAACTGGAAAAGTTGAAAGCCAGTATCGGTAATATGATTTGTCCCAATTCATTTTTTTCGACAACAGAAGATTGTTTAATGGCACAATCATTTGTTGCCGGTTCTTCTAGTTCGGAATGTGTTATATTTCAAATCGATATTCCTGATTCTTATTATCAAAATGCTGTTGATACATCAAACTATATATGTCCATTTTTGAAAATAGAAAATTTAAGTCAATTTCAAAGTGAAAGTGAAGTTATATTTTCACTTGGAGCATTATTTCGAATAGAATCTGTTGAAAAATATAATATGTGGTTTGTTTGTTTAAAATTTGAAGACGGAAATGATGAATTAATTAAAGATTTTTATCAAACAGATAAATTAGAAAATCAAACATATGACTGGCAGAGTAGATGTAGCGTTGAAGACCGAATTTTGTTATTAACGGAAAAATTTCCTCTATCATCAAGAAATATTATAAATATTTATATAAAATATGGCGTTTTTGCTGATGTGGACGGATTAACAACTGCAAAGACTTTAACTACATATAGAAAAGGATTTGAACTATTAATGAAATGTTTGCCTGATTATCACTATGCACTTACTATTGCTATGCAACTGAGTATTGGTCTTTTATATTGTAATAGAGGGGAACGTTTTTTAGCTATCCAATTTGGAGAAGAAGCTCTTCATGTAGCCGAAACTTATTTACAAATTGATCATGAATGTTCTCTTATTTGCTACAACTATCTTGCCGTTATTCATCAAATAGAAGATCAGTACACAGAATCATTATCAATTTATGAAAAAATGTTATCGATTGCAAAGGAACATGATAATAGTTCAGCTCTACTTGCTATTTATTTTGATATAAATCGTATTACATGTGACTTTGGTGATTATGAATATGAAATGGTATCTTTAAAAAAGATGGTAGAATTAGAAAGAAAATTAGGTTGTGAGAATTTAGAAAATAATTACTATCAATTTGGATCATATTATGAGAGGCAAGAAAATTTCACGATCGCATTATATTATTATAAAGAACATTTTCAATGTCTATTAAAGAAGCATGCATGTTTAATTGATTTATTAAGAAGTTATTCTCGAATAGGAAAAATGTACGAAAAATACAATCATTATATAGCAGCTTTACAAATCTACATTCGAGTTCTTCTAGCAGAACCTATAACATTAATATCGTACGGTTGTTCACTGCTTCGAAAGTATGAAAAAATGATTAAATTNAAACTCCTCTCGATGAATTCTATAATTCATTCGATACTACATGAAATGTTTTCTTTTCTTACATATCTACTCATCTCAACAGATAGATGAGTTATCTTTAATCATCTCATAAAATATTTCTAACTCATAATTTATACTTTTCAATACCACATTTTCTCTATCTATTTAGGACGTTTATTTAATTTCATGAATACAACGATATCCGATTTTTTTTGTTTTTCTATCATAACATGACTTTGGGATTCGATGAGTTCTAATCAACTAATTGAATTAAAACATATTTTCAGTTTTACTTTTTAGATTCGTTTTATATAGCCAAATATCCCATGAGTTTATTCCAAATATTAAATTAAAATACAATTACATTTTAATTTCTCAATTTGTTTCGAATATCAAAAAAAATGTGAGTTAATTCAATTTATTAAATAAAAATATAATCTTTAATTTTGGTTTGGAGATTCGATCCATATTTATCAATATATCTGGTGAGTTTATTTCAAATACTAAATGAAAATGAAATTCTTTTGTTATTTTTAGATTCGTGGGGTTTCGATAGATCCAGTGAGTTTGAAGCAATGCATTAAACAAAAATATAATTTTATTTTCATTTTTATATTCGTTTTATATCCATATATCTGGTGAGTTGGAAAAACTTCTTTGAATAAAAAAACAGTTTCATTTTTCTTTGTAGATTCGTTTTATATCTCAGTACATGTGGGAAGTTTGTCCAAATTATTGCACGAAAATCAAATTTTATTTTCATCCTTAGACTCGTTTTCTCTCAAAAGTTCGGGTGAGTTCGAATCAATTTAGTAAATTAAAATATAATTTTATTTTTATTTTTACATGATTATTGTAGGGAAACGTTTGATGAGCTACGAAATTCGTTGATTAACTGCTTCGGTTGAATTATGTTTTACATGGAATGAGTGATTATTGGTTTGGATGTGAAGAAAACGGGTGCGTTTAGATGATTTTTCTACGAAAAATCGGTTTGTTTCTTCATTTTTTAGGTGGAGAAGGTCGTAATGTTCAGCTTCGTGATGGTTTGGTGATGGTGCGATGAAGTGCGTCTGAATAACTAAAGTTTTTCTCTGAATACTATGTGTTGCCGACCTTTAATGACTGTTCTAGTTATTTCTGGCTACGGATAGCTTCACAGCAGAGCCTTATTGAACGTCTGTGGCCGCTGTGAATGCTTGTTGCCGGTGGCAGAGAAGTGATGGATTCCTGTCTAGTCTAGTTTGGTAGAGCTTTATCGGCATTCGGAAACCTTTTCTTTGGGTTTCCGAAGAGGTATTTGAGGTTTAGCTATAATGGGTACTATGTGTTTCCGAGACCTCGGAAACCCTTCTTCAGAAACCCTTTAAGGGTTTCCTATAGTAACAAACTCGGAAACCTTCTAAGGGTTTTCGAGAATACCTATTTTTTTTAGAGTGTACACGCACACCCACACTCACACTCACATTCACAGTCACACCCACATTCCACACCCACACCCTCAGTGACTATTAACTCACCTGAGATTAAAGAAACATCAGAGTTCCTTTTTTTTTTTGGTAGTTTGTGAATTAAAAGATGACTCAATAGTCTCAGGTTTAGGCTCTTTAGACATTCATTCCATTTCAAAATCAGAAATTCTGGTTGTTAATAGAATATTTCTAAAGTAGCCAATTGTTTATTTTGTTGTCTGATATACATGCAGAAATGAAGAATAAACAAGCAAGTGATATTGCCTACTCATCAGTGTGTCTAGACTTTCTCCTATGTCATTCACTAGTTGTTTTTTTTGGAACTATTGTTTATACAAGAAAAAAGGACAAATATTTAATGGTAATTATTAGTTTTTTCCTGTGACCGGCGCCGAGCAAAAACTGTTGGTGCCCGGGTTAGCCCACCCCTGGTTACGCCACTAGAACAGACCATACATCAACAATAATATCTTGTACTGCAATGAGAAAATAGATGAAGAAAAAGAAGATTGTTAATATGGCAGTGCGTAGATTGATCAAAAGAGATTCCAAGTAGAATGAGACAATTGGTAAAAAAAATACCAATAATTAACCGAATAGGTACAAACCATGTTTCACGACAATCAACTCGACTCTCACCCTCACAGTGAACTGGAAAAGATGAATAAGATGTCATTTGATGAGACATGAACGTTTCGATTGTTCTGCTTAATACTTATTCATCTCTCTTCTTATATCTGCTTTATATCGAGAAATGAAATTGTCAAACAGTCACTTTTGAAAAACGAAAACTAAATATGACGATTAAAAATATACCTATATTCTCACTTTGATTGTTGACTATACACATTCGTCTGTTGCTAGGTTGAACTCTTCTGTTTCATTTTATAATTCGCTGTTTATTTTCTTTTTTTCCTTTATTCGATAATACAAACAAAAAAAGTATTTTAAGATTTTTTTTTCATTATAA